AAAAGAAAAGAAACTCTCTTGCAGGGAACAAACCAGCATATCACTAGCAAGACTGCAGTTTTTATATCAAAGGCCATTTCAAAGAGGATAGACTATATAGAACACATTGGAACTGATTGCAGTGGTGATGATTTATTATGAATATTTCCTATGATTAACTCTATATTGGCTTCACAGATTTTTGATCTGGTCAGGTGACTAATCAACTTTGTTGTTGTTATAAGCAAATGCTGACATGTTTTTGCTTCTTTGGTATGGTTGTCAAGACTTCTGTATGGGTCCAGAGGAGATTCAAGTTATGTGAGCAAAAATATGTTGATAATTAAATCTGGGTTGAAACTTTACCGCAAGTCGAAGCACTACCCTTGTATATATTATCTGCATGGAAGAAGACTTTTCTCTCTGTTCTTCTACCCCTTGAGTTTCTTTTACATTTATCTGGGAGCCTCTGTCATTCTAGATAAATGAGCAAATTCTTTGAAGCTGAAGCTCTCAGATACATGAAACATATGGAGAGAGAGGAAAATGCTATAGATATTGATGTGTGTGTCTGTGTGAGAAAGAGAGAGACAGAGAGAGGGAGAGAGAGAAAACAGCTTTAGTTTAGAACATCTGGAAAGGATTATGGCACCACCACATACAAATAACCAAAGTTGAGTTCAAATCTAGGAAACATATTCACATTTTCAAACCCTCAACAAACTGTATCTCTGAATCATAATCATCCCCCGCCCCCATGCAATTATGAGATTGACTGTATTCCCTTCTCCAGTTCTTTGGGGAGTTGTAAGGCCTATTGGAAAAATAACAAGCCAGTATTAAAGCATGTTTACCAGCCATTCAAAGTTACAGTAGGAGATCTAGAATTCTTCATCAGCTGGATTGCAGATCATTTGCACAGAACAGTCATGGGTTCTGTTCTCACAGTCAGCAACCCCTCAGGGTGAACAGTGCTAGACAAAGACCTTGCTGGGTCAAATCACTGCAGTGTGATTCAGTTTCTAGCCAGAAGAGTTCCATCGAATATGATAGCATTGGTGGTGG